TTTAAGTAAATCCTACTACAAGGGAAACTTTGTGTTTAAGGAATTGGTAGAGAAGACCAGTTGAAGAAGAACTGCCTAGTCCTGCAGATCGTGTCCTGCTCTGTGATACTTTACTTCAATTTGAATTCAAAAATTAGGTTAGGAACGGCAAATGAAATATGTCCGATTAATAACTTGATGAGATATTTTTATAACGAAATATAAATTATTATATATTATCGAGTGTTTGTTTGTTTGTTTGTTTGTTTTGATTAATTTTTCTTTTCTTTTCCTACATAATTTGTTTTTATTCCAAAACGATCGGATTCAATTGTTTGTTTATCCAATCGCGAGTGATAAAACGAGAGGAGAAATATGATTGGTTTTAATAATAAAATATGGCGCTGCTATCGTCGTTCGGATACATTAATTATTATTCATGATTTTAACGATGTGAAATATATGAAAAAAAAAATTTAACGAACTGTTAAAATTGCGCAAGTGTGTTTAATTATTTGTGCGATTCGAGATTGAGTTGATCGGATTAATATATATATATATATATATATAGAAAAAAAAATACAAACCACCAAAAAGGAGAGAAAGTGAAAACAAACAAACAAAAAGGAAAAAAGGGATATAATAAAGTTAAGAAAAATGTGATATGCGGTGATATGTGGTGATACGTGGTGAAATGTTGAAATTTATTAGGACTAAGTTTCTTTTAAACGAGCTTTGCACCCGTCACAACAAACATGTCTTCGAGATCCGGCTTGTTCATCGATCATTTATGTGTTGCTTGGCGGCAATGACGGTGGCGAAGGGAAAACCCCGTTGAAATTGTGAAAGCTATATATATATATGCATAGATAAATATATATATATATATATATATAAATATATATATAATGGTGCCTACGCAATGTAGGCAATTAATTGATAATGTTTACGGATATTTTACCTATCCGGTGAGTTTTTAATTATTCTATTAATATCTTATTTTTATTTAAACAAAGAAAGAAAAAAAAGATAGAAAGAAAGGAAGAAAGAGAGAGACAGGTATATTTAATAAACAATATTAACAAAAGTTAGATAACACGCACAGATACACACAGAGAC